AGGAGAGAGGAGTTCGGTGTCAAGTCATGGGAGCCTCCCATACCATCTTGTCGGCTCTTGCGGATCGACGCGAATCTACGCTAAATCTACGCTAGATCGACGCTAATCGACGCTAAATCGGACGCTCATCGACGCTACTTCGACGCTAAATCGGCGCTCCCTCATCGACTCCCAAACGCTAATCGACGCCGCTACTCGACGCTGAAAACGGAATTGAGGGGGGTACACCAGGCTCCCATGACCTGCTACCGAAGAGGAGGGAGGAGGAAGAATGGAACGAGCGAGGAGCCGCTCGGGGGCCGGACTCGGCGCATCCTTGGGCCCGCCTTCTCGGTGCCCCGTTCGGCTCCCAGGGCCCTGTGGCCCTCTCGGGCCAGCTTGGGGTCGCCGTGGGGCTTCCAGGAGCACTCGTCAAGTGCCCAGGGGGCTCTCCCAGGGCCGCTTTGGCCATCTTGGAGCTTTCCGAAAACTGTCTTGTGCCGCCTTCGCGTGGTCCTGGGCCGTCTCGGGGCCCCTCATAGCTCTCAAGCCATCTTGAACGCCTCTTGGGGGCCGTCTGGGCCGCTCGGGGGTGTTGCGAAGCCTTCTCAGAACCATCCTGGGCTGGAAGGTCTGGAGAGCCGATAACATGGGGCTCCAGCTTCGCCTCCCACATCTTGCTGAGCAGCGCCAGCGCCCGCTGCCACTGCTGGCCCTTACCGCACGCACTGACCACGACGCTGTAGCTGATAACGTCAGGCTCCAACTTCGCCTCGCACATCTCGCTGAGCAGCGCCAAGGCCCGCTGCCACTGCACAGCTCTCTCGCACGCGCTGATCCCAGCGTTGTAGCAGAGACTCGTGCTGACCCGTGGACTACGTCCACTTGCCGGGGGAACAGGTGGTTCCGCAAGGCGCACTCGAAAAAAGCTGGGCCCCATGCCCGCTTCCGCATATTGCCGAGCAGCGGGAACGCCCGGTTGCACTGCCGGTGTCCCCTGCGCCGCCGCCCGCGCTGGGAACCGCCATCCTCGGGCGTCCTGTGAGCGAGCAGCAGCGATAGCGGGAACAGGCCTCGGAGGGGGGGGATGCATCGACCCCGAATAGCCGATACATCGCCCATGCATCCAAGACCCTCGGAGCGTCCAAAGCGGTTCTGGGCCTGCGATCTGCGTCTCGCCTCTCGTCCGCCCCCCTCTCACGGAGGAAAGCTCGAAGCCACTGAGGGCGTCATGGGGGCTGGCTGTTTGGAGCCTACGATATGCCTCTCGCCTCTCGCCCGCCCCCCCTCTCTTGGAGGCAATGTTGAAGCCACTTGGGGCCTCTTAGAGGCCGTTTGGGGGACTCGTGGGGCTTCTTTTCGGCTTCCTGAAGCCTCTTGGGGCCCTCTTGGGCCGTCTTGTATGCCTTTTGGGCCGTCTTGGGGCCGTCTTGAGCTGTCTTGGGCTGTCTTGGGCGCTTCTTGGGCCGTCTTGGGGCTGCCTTGGGCCGTCTTGGGCGGCTCTTGGGGCTGTCTTGCGTGCCTCTTGGGTCGTCTTGGGTGCCTCTTGGACCGTCCTGGTATTGTCTTGGATCGTCTTGGGGCCCTCACTGGGGCATCTTGGGGCGATCTTGGGGGCCAGTCTGGCCGTCGTGGACGCGTCGGAGACGAGAAGCACAATGATGCCCCAAATGTATGTTTTCCGACAGGGATGTGGCGATTTTTGCCTCTTGGGGCTCTCCTGGGGAGTCCTCCAAGGCCGTCTTGGGAGCCTCCTGGCCTGCCTTGGGGGCCTCTGGGACCGTCGGGCAGCCCCTTGAGCGGTCGGAGCCGTCTTGGGGCCGTCGGGGCGCCCTCTTGACCGTCTGGGGTGCCGTCGCGAGCGGCTCGCAGCCGTCGGCCACTCCAGTGATCCAGAAACCCGTCTCTCACGCAGCGCTCCCAACATTGTAGGAGTGACCAGGTCTGACCTGTTGACTTCCAGCCATAGAAATTACTCGCATGCAAGAGTGAATGCCGCTTGCATGTTTGCCCGGTTGCGAGGTTTCTTGCGCGCATGGCTGCTGGCCTGCTGGCTTTACAGATGTCTCCCCGATGTTATTGCTTGTATGCTTGCCTGCTACCGTGGTTGCCTGCTTGCTTGCTGCATAGCTTCCTCGTCCACTCGCTGCCGCCGGACCACTTGTTGCTGCTCTTTGCTGTTAGTTGCTGAAGTTTGCGGCCTTGGGCTGATGCTGCATGCTTACCATCCCCTTAATGCTGGCGGTACTGATAAAACTACCGCTGCTTTTTGTTCGATCTCGCGACAGCGTCAGACCACCACTGGAATCCAGCACAACCGCACCTCGACGAAGAACCGAGATGGTGCTCCTGTGCGCGCAACGGCGCTCGACCACGGTGTGAAGACGCCCGTGAATCACATCACGACTCAAATCCGGAATGAATACGCACCGAACTCCGATCCCGCAAGTCGAAGAAGAGCTTGAGGGAGGAACGAGATGCAGCACCAGAAATTGTCCCCGATAATGAGCGATCGCTGTTTGCTGCTGGTTACTGCTGCAGTCTTCGTTCTACTTGCCTGCTTCGCCACTTGCGAGGCCTCCTGTTTGCGTGGCTCCTATTCTGCTGGCCTGACAGCTTGCTTGACTGCCTGATTGTATTGTGACCTACTGGTATGATCTGGCATTATGTCTTGCTTGGTTGATGCATTGCTTGTCCACCTGCTCGCTGCTGATTACTACCGCTTGCTTCTGCCCAGTGCTATTTGCGAAATCATGGCCGATAGTCGCTGCTTACTGCGGCTATCGCCTGCTGCTTACTGGTGCGTAAAGATGTTCGCTACGGCTTGGTGATGCTTCTTGCCGTTTCTTGGTGTTGGCTGTTCTTGCCAGCCTACTGATGTTTGCCGTTTCTTGCTGCGTGGTGCTGGCGATGCAAAGGCGTGCTGCTGCTGCCGCCACTTGCTGCTGCGCAACGCTGTTCTATACTGCGTGCTGGTGCTGCTTCCTGCTGGGCCGTTTGGGTGCCGTCTGGGAAGCTTGTATGGGGTACCCCGAGTCTGTGCGGAGCCCTGCTTGAGCAATATGGGGTTAAAAAACAAAAGCTATAAAACACGAAGACGCGGTGAATGAGGCTTCACATCTGGAGACTCTCTTGGGGCCTGTTCGGACCTCCATTGAAGGTTATGTAGGGCGACGAAATCCATACATATCCACTGCTTCCTGGCCAGGCCCATCCTGAACCCATCAGCGGTGCGTACGCCGCGCCCGCATGGCTCGGCCAGGAGGTTGTATGCACAGATCATTGGTTCAGGATGGGCCTGGCCAGGGAGCAGTGGATATGTACAGATCTCGTCGCTCAATCGTGTACTTCCTGACGCCGCTTGAAGGTTCTCGGGCGCAGCCCCAGAGCTCCCGGAGCCCGTCTGGGGCCGAGCCGCGGTCATCCAGAGAGCCCATTTGGAGCGCCCAAAACGGCGGCGCGCGCCAGCGCTCCCCGCTCGCGCGCGTGCAACTTTTGGCAATGTGGATAATGAGCCGTGACGGGCTGGGCCGGGCCCCGTCCAACACTTGGCAAGTCGCTGCTGGACGTAAGCGGTCCGCTGCACATACATTCGGCGCGAGGCAGGATCTGGCCCGACACGTCTCAAGACAAAAATCGTATGATGCGGCTGCCCATTCCAGCTTCCGAAGAAAAGCCCCCATGACAAACTTGGGATGCGGGAGACATGCGCGCACGTCGCAACAGAAATAGATATAATGCCGTCAACCTCCAATTTCACCTCCCGCATCTCGCCAAGCAGAGACAGAGCCCGCTGCCACTGCGCGCCCTTCTCGCACGCGCTGATCCCAGCGGCGTAGCTGATGGCGTCGAGCTCCAACTTCGCCTGCCGCATCTCGCTGCGCAGCGCCAAAGCCCACCGCCACTGCGCGCCCTTCTCGCAGGCGCTGGCCCCAGCGTTGTAGCTTATTTACAGCGCGTGCCCGTGGCGGGGATCCTCGCGATGGAAGAACCTGCCGGCTGTGCATGTGGGGCGGTCCTGGGGACAGCGACAGCCCGAATCGGGTGAGGATCTTGGTCTGTCAAAGCGCCGTCGTGGTTTTTCTTGGGCCGTCCTGGGGGCCTCCCTGGGCCGACTCAGGGGCCTCCTGGGACGCCTCGGGGCCCTCCTGGGCCGTCTCGGAGCCTTCTTGGACCATGTCGGGTCGTCTCGGGGCTTCTTGAGACGTGTTCGGCCCTCTTGGACGCCCCCCTTCGAGCCCTCTTGGGCCGTCTTGGAACCTTCCTGGGCCGTCTTGAGGATCTTGGGGCCCTCTTGGGAGCCTCTCGGGCCGTTTTGGATCTTTCTGGAGGGCCACTCGGGCTGTCTTGCGAGGTTGGGAGCCTGAACACAAGAGAGCGCGAACATCATCGAAAAACCCATGGTGAATCAGCGAATCTTGCCTCTCGGGGCCATGCTGGGGACCCTCCTCGGGATCCGTTTGGGCCACATTGGGCAGTCTTGGAGCCCTCTCGGGCCGTCTCGGGCCGTCTTGGACCGTCCGAGGCCGCCCCGAGGGCCCTCTTGGAGCGGCCCGTGGCGGCCGGTTCGATTCCACTGGAGCCCCTTTCGAAGACGCCGATCCTGGCATGGAAGACGAGATGACGCTGGGCTTTAACCTCGCCTCCCGCATCTCGTCAAGAAGCGCCAGAGCCCGCTGCCACTGCGCGCCCTTCTCGCACGCGCTGATCGCAGCGCTATAGCTGATGACATGGAGCTCCAGCTTTGCATCCCACATCTCCCTGAGCAGCGCCAAAGCCCGCTGCCATTGCGCGCCCTTCTCGCACGCACTGATCGCAGCGCTGTAGCTCGTGACGCTGGGCTCCAATTTCGCCTCACACATCTTGCCGAGCAGCGCCAAAGCCCGCTGCCACTGCTCGCCCTTCTCGCATGCGCTGATCCCAGCGCAGTAGCTGACATAGAGCTAACCAATGGACTACGTCCATCAAATCTGCAGGAACCGGCATGTGATGGTGGGCATGCTGCCGAAATGATGAAATGATAACGTGCGGCTCGGACTTAGCATTCCGCGAATGCTACCGCGTGCTGCTGCTTGCTGCCGCTGGTGGATGCTGTTGGTAAGATTGTCGCTGCTTCGTGCTGAGGTGATCACGATAGCCGTTCACTCGCCATAACAATGGTTCAATCTAGAAATGTCTCGAAAACAATCCGTACCACAGCTCACGCCGGCTGTCAGCCAGGCTCTCTGAGCTAAAACATGCCACAGCCCATATGACTGAGGTACACTGCGCTGTACGATCAAACAACTCAGCAACATCACATGATGCGAGATTCATGGCGCGGCACTGGCAAAACAACGGCGGCGAACGGCAGCAAGCAGATGGCAAACTACGTACATGCTGTCACGAAGGCCGATATAGTAAAGCTAGGGCTCCCAACTTCGCGCTTCGCGCTCTGCGAAGTGCGAAGCGCGAATAACTTCGCGCTCTCGCGCCGCCCCCCCAAAGGGAGAAAAGGAGAACGAGGAGGACGGGGAGAAGGAATGAGGACCGCGAAGCGCGAAGCGCGAATGACTTCGCGCCCTCGTGGGAGCCCTTGGTAAAGAGAGTATACGGACGCGGTTGAAGCACCGTAAGGAAATCCATTGTGCCTGCTGCCGGAGGCTCTCCTTGGAGTCCCCTTTGACTTGCCTTGGGGCGCGCAGGAGCCCCTTGGGGCCGTCGGGAGGCCATCTTGGACCGCCCTGGGGCGTTCTTGGAGCCCTCTGGGGCCGTTTTGGAGCTCTCTTGGGCGCTTCGGTGCCTATCTTGGAACGTCTTGGAGCTCTCCAGTGCCTATCTTGGGCGCTTCAGTGCCTATCTTGGGCGCTTCAGTGCCTATTTTGGAGCCCTCTTTGGGCCGTCCTGAAGCGCCCCCGAGGCGCCCAGGAGCGCGCCGCGGCCTGCCAGGCAGATTCCGGTCACCCGCTCGTGGCATCTTTCCGGCGCGCGGCGCCCCTGGCATGGAAGAAGAGATGACGCCGGGCTCCAGCTTCGCCTTCCGCATCTCGCCAAGCAGCGCCAAAGCCCGCTGCCACTGCTCGACCCTCCCGCACGCGCTGATCGCAGAATTGTAGCTGACTAGTGTGAACCCGTGGGCTAAATTCACGGCGTGCTGAGCCGATGACTCGCACACCGTAGGTGACCAGCTCGTCGAAGTTTAACAGCTCGGGCGTCCCTGGGGCGGTAGGGGCGACCTTCGGAGGCACATATGAGGGTCACGTTTGAGGGCAATGGTTGGGGGCTGTGCGTGGGGGGCCATGTTTGGGGGCGCTTGGGGGCTACGCGTGGGAGTGACGTTCGAGGGCCACGCTTACTGGGGCAGTAGGGGCGACCTTCGGAGGCTTTGTGTGGGGGCCGCCTTTGGGGGTCCCGTTCTGGGGCCTCATGTGGGGCCGACGTTGAAGGGGTCACGTCTGGGGGCCACCCCGGAAAGCAGCCGGGGAGCTCCGGGGGCACTGACCTGGAAGCGTGAGAATGAATGGGTTTTTGCTAATTGCGCTGGGCCTGGGAGCGATTAGCAAAAACACAAGGGTTTTCAGGCACAGTCAGAGTGGGCCACGTTTGCGGGCCTCGGTTGGGGGCTGCGCAGGGAGGTCTTGGGGCCATCTTGGGGGTCTCGGGCCGTCTCGGAGGTCGCTTTCGGCCCTCTTGGGCGGCATCTGGGGCCCTTCTTGGGGCGCGTTGGCGCCATCTTGGGGGTCTCGGACCGTTTCGGAGGTCGCTTTGGGCCCGCTCGTCGGGGCTGCCTTTGGGGTCACTTGAAGCTCTCTTGGGCTGTCTTGGGGCCCTCTTGGGCCGTCTACGGACCTTGGGCCGTCTGGGGGCCCTCTTGGGCCCGTGCAGGGGCGATCTGGGAAGCCCCCGGGGCCATCCTGGGCCGTTGTAGGCCCGAAATGGCGGGAACAAGAAAAACCTCGAAACCTCCGGAAAACGCACAGGTATTGCCTCTTGACACCGTCCACGCCGTCTTCGGGGGCTGTCTCTGAAGCCTTTTTGTGCCGTCATGGGGCTCCGGTCGGGTCGGCTTCAGCCCTCTTGGGCGTCTGTGAGGCCGTCTTGGGGCGATCTGGGGGTCCTGGAAACGTCGGCGAGCGCTCCAGGGGCCTCCTGGGGCCGTCGAGGAGCGCCCCGGAGGCTCTCCAGGCGGCCCGCGGGCTCTCTGGGCGGCCCAGGGCGCTGCCACTGCTTCTACTACTACTCGCACGCGCTCACCCCTCCGGTAATGGTATTTACTTTGAAATCAGGGTGAGGGGGGCCGAACAGTCATTCATTGTCCCTGAGAGCGTGGCTGAAGTGGGGATCCGTGGTGAAGATTATGCTTGTAGCGTTGTTGTTTTTTGTTTGTCTGTTTGTTGTCGTCCCACCCGCGACCGACCCGCGACCCACCCTGCGACCCCCCCGCGACCCACCCCGCGACCCACCCCGCGACCCACCCCGCGACCCACCCCGCGACCCAACCCGCGACCTTCCCGCGACCCACTCCGCGACCCACCCGCGACCCACCCGCGACCCACCCCGCGACCCACCCCGCGACCCACCCCGCGACTCATGCGCGACCCACCCGCGACCCACCTGCGACCCACCGCGACCCACCCCCGCGACCCACCCACGACCCACCAGCGACCCAACAACGACCCACCCGCGACCCACCCGCGACCCATCTGCGACCCACCCGCGACCTACCCACATTGGTTTGACGAGAAAATCGGCGCCTGCGGCGGGCTCGTTATATAATTTGCGAAACTTTGGCGCCTGCGGCGGGCTTCTCCAAAGTCTCGCAAACTGCCGACGTCACCACCGCCCCCTCACTTTTATCCGCATCTGCGGGGTGCTATGTAAATACCTTCACCCTCGGGGCCTCACGCCTCTCGTCCGCCTCTCCGCTCTTGGAGGCAGTTTGGAAGCCTCTTGGGGCCTGTTGGGGGCCACTTGGAGGCATCGTGGGGCCTCGTTTGGGCCTCCTGGGAGCCTTGAGGCCGTCTTGGGCGCAGGGTGTACTCGCGGCCGCGCCTAGTAGACCCTAAACCCTAAACCCGTACCCTAACTCTTCATCGCTGTTCCCTATTAATGTACACACCCTCCCCCAGGCGACCGGGAGCCAACCCAGGTCCATGTGGGCCCCCCACCATCCCTCGTAAAAACCAATACAAAACACACTCTGCCCCCACCACCACCCGTAAAAAGCCATACAAAACACACTTTGTTTCCAAATTCGGCGCATGCGCAGCGAACCCGATACGGCCTCCCCCCACCGTCCCTGTCAAAAAAACATACAGGGTACACTTGGCGGCGGCGGCGGCGGCTGCGGCGGCTGCGGCGGGGGCAGCGGCTGCGGCGGCTGCCGCGGTGGCGGCGGCGGGGGCGACGGCGGCGGCGGCGGCGGCGGCTGTGGCCGTGGCGGCGGCAGCATCGGTGGCGGCAGCGGCTGCGGCGGCAGCGGCTGCGGCGGCAGCAATTTGGCAGCGGGCGGCGGCGGCGGCGGCGGCGGCGGTAGCGCGGTGGCGGCGGCAGCGGCGGACAGCGGCGGCGGCGGCGGCGCGGCGCCGGCGGCAGCGGCGGGCGGCGGCGGCGGAGGCGGCGGCGGCGGCGGCGGCGGCGGCGGATTGGCCCCCAGTAGCTGGCCATCCAAAGACTACTGCTGCATATGCTGCGGCTCGGGCCAGGCTCGGGTGCTGCGTATGTGTTGGGAGGGCGGGTGGGAGTGAGCGAGACGGCTTGCGGGCGGGGAGGGAGTAGCTTGACCCTAACCCTTACCCCGACCCTAAACCCTAACCCTAACCCCTAACCCAAACCCATACCCTGACCCTAACTCCTACCTCAACCCGAACCCCTAACCGCGAATACCCTCACCCTAACCCTAACCCCTGCCTTAACCCCGAAACCCTACCCCTTACGCCTAACCCTAGCCCCTAACCCTAACCCGAATCCCTGACCCGAACCCTAAGAACTAACCCTAACCCCTAAACCTTACCCTAACCCCTAACCCTGACCCTAATCCCTAACCCTTACCCTAAGCTCTAATCCAAACCCCGAAACCCTAACTTCCCCCTTGCCTGGCCAAAGCGGGGGAAGGGGGGGGGTCCGAAATCGCCCTCCCCCGTCTCCAGCGCCAAGGGAGGGGGAGGGGGGGGTCTGGACCGCCCCCCCTTCTTCTTTCAAGGGGGGAGGAGGGGGGGTCTGGACCCCCCCCCCCTGAAGGAAGGGGGGGGGGGGATCGAAAATGTCCCCCCCCCCTTGAAGGGGGGAGGGGGGGGTTCTTGGAGCACCCCCCCCTTTTCAATTACGAGGTGGTCCACTGACCCTCTTTCCCAAATACACCCTGGGTCCGCAATCCAGCCGCCCCTTTTGGGGGCGCACGGGGCGTGAGTGGAGCGTCAACGTCGTCGTCGTCGCCGTCGCCGTGGTCGTCGTCGTCGTCGCCGTCGTCTGCGTCGTCGTCGTCGTCGTCGTCGTCGTCCTCGCCGTCGTCCTCGCCGTCGTCCTCGTCGTCGTCGTCATCGTCCTCGTCGTCGTCGTCGTCGTCCCCCTTCAGGGTCGGCGGCACCAGCCGCAAGCCCTTCCCAATACGCCATGGGTTCGCAATCCAGCCGCTCTTTTGGGGAGAAAGGGCGCACGGGGCTTGAACGGACGGGGGCGTGATGAGCTCGACCCGGGATCATTATGATGGTGATGACGATGAAGATGGTGATGGTGGCGAGCGAACTTATGCGCCCATTATTGTGTGGGGTGGGTGTGCGGAGGGTTGATGTAGCTCGTGTTTGCGTTGCAGCTTCCGAAATCGTTCGGTTAAGTATGGAGGGTGTTGCAGTATCGTTGACGCTGGGCTCCAGCTTCACCTCCCACATATCGCTGAGCAAAGCCAAAGCCCGCTGCCACTGATCGCCCGTCCCGCAAGCACTGATCCCAGCGTTGTAGCTGATGGCGCTGGGCTCCAGCTTCGCCTGCCGCATCTCGCCAAGCAGCGCCAACGCCTGCTGCCACTGCTCGCCCGTCACGCAAGCACTGATCCCAGCGCTGTAGCTGATGACGCTGGGCTCCAGCTTCGCCTGCCGCATCTCGCCAAGCAGCGCCAAAGCCCGCTGCCACTGCTCGCCCGTCACGCAAGCACTAAGCCCAGCGCTGTAGCTGATGACGCTCAGCACCAACTTCGCCGCCCGCATCTCCCCGAACAGCGCCAAAGCCCGCTGCCACCGCTCGCCCTTCCCACACGCGCTGATCGCAGCGTTGTAGCTAATGGCATTGGGCTCCAACTTCGCCTCCCGCATATCACACAACAGAGCCAACGCCCGCTGCCATTGATCGCCCTTCACGCAAGCGCTGATCGCAGCGCTGTAGCTCATGACGCAGGGGTCTAAGTTCGCCTCCCGCGTATTGTTGAGCAGCGCCATAGCCCGCTGCCACTGCTCGCTCTTCACGCAAGCGCTGATCGCAGCGTTGTAGCTGACTAGTGCGACCCCATGGATTGAATTCACGGTCAGCAGACAGGGCTAATATTCAGTGTGCCTGCGTCCAGGGGAACGAAATGTAATGGGAATCCGAACGCTCGAAGGTCTGCAAAGAGTCTGTTGGCATACTACGTTGATGCCATCGTAGGGCGGTCTTGGGCCGTCTTGGGAACATCATAAGGGCCGTATTGGCGCGATCTTTGGGGCCTCTTGTGCCGCCTTTGGACTCTCTTGGGCCGTCTTAGGGCCCTCTCGGAGGCCTCTTTGTCCGTCTTGGGCGTTCCGTGACCAGAGCGAATATATCAAAATCTGAGAAAAACCACAAGGGAATCAATGGTTGTGGAACCCCTCTTGGGAGTCCTCTTGGAACCTTTTGACGGCAGGGATGCCATCTTGGGCCGTCTTGGGGCGCTGTTGGACCGCACCGGAACCTTCTTGGACCGTCTGGGGCTTCCCTTGGACCGTCTTGAGGCCCAAACCTTGGAAGCCTGGAAATGGGCACCAACACCAACACAGGGGGCTGCCTTCACAGGGGGAGGATGATCTTAGACTTCGGTGGTGGTAATATTTCGGTCACCTTGGAAGCCAGAATATAAAGTACCACCATCACCGAGATCGGGATCTTCTTCCCTCGGTGGAGGCACACCACCGACACTGGCGTTGGCGTCAACATCTAGGCCTGCGAAAACCCTCTTGGGCCACCTGAGACCGTCCATGGGGTGCCAGCCGACGCGCCAGGGCCAGCCGGGCTGATTTTGTCGTAGTCGGTTCTGGCGCCCTCCTGGCACGCGCTGCTGACGTCGGGCTCCAACTCCGCCTCCCGTATTTCGCCGAGCAGCGCCACGGCCCGCTGCCACTGCTCGCCGTTCCCGCACCCGCTGATCCCGGCGTTGTAGCTGATAGGAAAGACTGGGGCAGACCCGTGGACCACATCAACGAAGGCTTACTCGCATGCAGGCGTGAGTGCCGCTTTCCTGCTGTCCCGGCTGCGTCGCTACTAGCCAGCCAGCCTGACAGCTTGTGGCCTGCTCGCCTGCCACCTTTCTCGTCTGCGTTCTCGCTCGCCCGCCCGATTGCTGAGTCGTTCAGGCCTGCAATCATCTCTGGAAGTCGTCGTCGTCGTCTTCGTGGCCGTGGGCGGCGCCTCCCTGAATAGAAGAATAAACATCGGCATAAACATAAACGTTTGGCGCCCCGCGCGGATCTCTTGGATCTGTGCTGGACCCCCCCTCTCCGGCGCGCGGAGCGCGCCAGGGGCGGCGCCAGAGGCGCCGCCGGGGGGGAGGCATGGCGCGGATCCAAGAAATCCGATCCGCGCGAAGCGCCGAAAAGTTTATGTTTGTGGCGTTTTCTCTCCTTCGATGAAAGTCGTCGTCCTCGCCTTCGTGGTCGTGGGCGGCGCTCCCCGGAGGAACGGCCGCTCCACGGCTCTGGCCCGTCTCGTCAGGCGCGTGGTCCTCGCCCGCGCCGGAAACTCCGCGTCGAGGCAGCGGCTGCCCTCCTCCGCAGGCCCGCCCTGCTCGGGCCTCTCCCCGCAGCCGCGCTGAGGGGCATGGCCGGCGCCCTCCGCCTCGGGCCCCGGTGCCATCGTGGAGCAGCCCAGGGCCGCGTGGGGGCCGTCTCGGGGCCATCCGGTGTGGGGGGGGGGCCAGTCTTCGAGGCGCGTCGGGGCACTCCAGGGCGCCGTGCGAGGCCCTGCCAGTGCAGGAAGGCGCCGGGAGCCAAGAGGAACGAGGAGGAGGAGCGAGGGGAGGGGAGCAAGGAGCGAGGAGAGAGGAGCGAAAAGCTGGGAGCGAGGAGCGAGAAGCTTGGAGCGAGGAGATAGGGTTGAGCAGCAACGAGCACATGAATCTCCCACCAACGGCCTCGACGCGCGCGAGGCCGAACACTTCGTCTTCTCTTGGGTTGCGCCCAGGGCCGTTTGTTGAGGGCCAGCTCGGGGCCTCGGGGCATTGCTTGGGGCTTCTCGGGCTCCCTCGGGGCCCTGCTGGGCCTTCTGGAGCCGTCTGGGCGGGAACAGCTTCGCTGGGTCTGGGGGGCGCTCGGGGAGCGCAGTGGGGCCATCCCATGGGGCATTCCTGGGCCGCCTGGGGACCGTCTTGGGGCTGTCTTAGCGGCCTGCCTCTTGGACCGCCCGGGGAGCGAGTCTGGCCGTCTTGGGGCCCTCCTGGGCCGTCTTGGAGCTCTCATTGGGCTGTCTTGGGGCCGCCTGGAGTCGATCTCGGGGGCCTCCAGGGCGGTCCTGGGCGTCCCGAGATCCGAAAAAGCAAGCACGCGAAAACGATTCGAGAACCAACCGACAATCCACTGCTGCTCCGAGAGGCCTTCTCGGGGAGGCCTCTTGGAGCCGCCTGGGGGGGTGTTGGGGGCCTCTTGGGCTGTCTGGAGGCCATCTTGGGTCGCCTTGGGGCGCTCTTCACAAAAAGAAAAATCTGCATAAACATACACAGCTGGCGCTCCGCGCGGATCTATTGGATCTGCGCTGGACGCCCCTCCCCAGCGCGCGGAGCGCGCCAGGGGCGGCGCCGGAGCGCTGCCGGGGAGGCCAAGCGCGGATCCAAGAAATCCGCGCGGAGCGCCAAAAGTTTATGTTGACGGCGTTTTGGTTTCTTCGATCTTGGGCTCTCTGGAGGCCGTCTTGGGTCGCCTTGGGGCGCTCCTGGACGTCTGGGGGCGCTGGGGGCCCTTGTGACCCGCCTGAGGCCACCGCCTGGTGGACCTCGAAGGGCCCTCTGCGGCCGTCTTGGAGGTCCTGGGCGCGCCCGTGGGCGCGCCAGAGCCTGCCGGGCCGATGTTCATTCACTTGCGCGGGGATTCTTCGGGCGCGCGCTGCCCTCGCATTAGCAGACGAGCGCGTCCCACTACTCGCAGAGTGACTACTCGCATGTGGCCTGGATCCGCCGCGGGGGATCTGCGATCTATGACGTCGAGGCGAACAGGTGCGTTTCGGACGTTTGCGAGTAGGCGCTTTGCGAGTAGTGGAGCGCGCTCGGTGAATTGGGATAGATAGAAGAGGGCCGCCCCGTGGACTACCGTCCACGAAATCTGCTCGAACTGCCATGTAAGTTGATGGCAGAAATGCCGCCGAAACTCCTTGAAGGGGCCCAGGGACACACAAACAAAACAAAAAATCCCAGGATGTCCCATATATTTCCCTACCTAGGCTCTGCCTAGAAGGGTTCTTACTGGGTTGGATTAAAGGGACCGGGCAGTGGAACACGCCCCAGGCGGTTCCCCCGGCATCCGCCCCGCAGTTCCCCCAGGATCCCCCGCTTTGCCTAGCCTAGCCTAGCCTAGCTTAGCTTAGCTTAGCTTAGCTTAGCTTAGCTTCGTTTGGCTTAGCTTGGCTTAGCTTAGCTTAGCTTAGCTTGGCTTAGCTTAGCTTAGCGAAGCTTAGCATAGCTTAGCTTACCTTAGCTTCGCTTAGCGCAGCGCAGCATAGCACAGCGCAGCATTAGCACAGCATAGCACAGCATAGCATAGCATAGCCAAGCATAGCATAGCGTAGCATAGCTCAGCAAAGCATCGCATAGCCAAGCATAGCATAGCATAGCGCAGCATAGCATAGCATAGCATTGCTTAGCATAGCACAGCGCAGCATAGCCTAGCATAGCATAGCGCAGCATAACATAGCATAGCATAGCACAGCACAGCATATCATAACATACCATAACATAGCACATCACAGCATAGCGCAGCATAGCATATCATAGCATAGCCTAGCATCGCACAGTATAGCGCAGCATAGCATAGTATAGCATAGCATAGCATGGCGCAGCATAACATAGCGTAGCATAGCATAGCGAAGCATAGCTTAGTTGACCTTAGCTTAGCTTGGCGCAGCGCAGCATAGCGCAGCGCAGCATTAGCACAGCACAGCACAGCACAGCACAGCATAGCATAGCATAGCATAGCATAGCATGCAAAGCAAAAGCAACACCAATGCGAAAGTGTAGATGTAGATTTAGATGTAGATGCAGGTGTAGGTGTAGATGTGGATGTAGGTGTATATGTAGATGTAGGTGTAGATGTAGATGTAGATGTAGATGTAGATGTAGGTGTAGATATAGGTGTGGATGTAGCTGTAGATGTAGATGTAGATGTGAGTCTCGCTGTTGATGTTGATGTAGATGTAGATGCAGGTGTAGATGTGAATGTAGCTGTCGGTGTAGATGTAGATGTCGCTTTCCTAGATGCTCCAACTCCTCGGTAGGGTCGCACTGGGATGATTTCCTCCTGCTTTCTGGGTTTTCGTCTGCCCCCCCCACTTCCCTTGTTTTCCTACATTTTCCTGGGGATGGGCGATTCACTGTGTCTGCGTGTTTCTGCCCCCTCCTGACTCGTGCATGATGACGTCGGGCCCGAGGCCCGAGCAGCGAGGAAAACGAGCAGGGGGGAGCGCAGGGCGGCGACGAGGAGCGAGCAGCGAAGGGGGCGGTAAGGAGCCGTCGCGGGACGCTCGGGGGCGCTCTTGGGGGCCTTCGCAGGGCCGCGTGGGCTGGCAGGAGGGAGATGCGGGGAGGAAGGAGGTAGAAGGTGAGCAATTTTTTTTTTGTTAGGCCTTCGAGATCTCGGGGGCCCCTGTGAGTGCTCAGGGCCTCGGGCGGCGAAGACGAAAGATCGACCACGCTCCCGTGGCAACCATCCTTATGGACGGAAGCCGACAGCGGAGAGAAAAACACAGCTAGAAGGTGAGCAATTGGTTGACCGGTGTATTGGGTTATGGTGTAAAGAAGACGGGGGTACGTTTTGGACCCTCCTTCATGGACGTCCTCGTTGGCCGAGGAGCCCTCCTTCACGGACGTCGTCGTTGGCCGAGGGTCCGATGTTTTGGGTGGAATGGATACATTCGGGAAAGGATACATCGAGAATCTCTGAGATCCGGTGGATCTGGAGGATGCCTTGGGCGCCGCGGCCTTCTCAGAGCGCTCCGGAGCGCTCGGCAAGCGTTCCAGAAGGCCGTCGAACGGATCTATCCTCGTCTCAATCCCGTCCGAAATTAGAAGAAGAAAGGACTGCATAAGCATAAACTTTTGGCGCTCCGCGCGGATTTCTTGAATCTGCGCAGCGCGCCAGGGGCGGCGCCGGAGGCGCCGCCAGGGGAGTCCAGCACGGATCCAAGAAATCCACGCGGCGTGCAAAAAGAACATGTTTATGGCTTTTTCTTCTTCGAGAAATGGGCTTGCAGCCAGGATGGAGCAGCGAGGGGCGAGGTGAGCAGGGAGCGAGGAGAGAGGGGTTACGGACGAGCGCCAGGAAGCCTGGGGGGCCGCCAGGGGAGCTCCGCGGACTGTCGTTAGGTCGGGCATGTCCTCCTACAGGCGGATCTTGGAAGAAAAATTAAGAAGCATCAAAGAATGATCCAGGATAGTCAACAGGGCACGAAAAATCGCCCCCTGACAATTTCCAACCATCCTGTGGTGTTGGGTCCCCGTTTTGACGAGACAGCGCCCCGCGCTCCCTTCCTCCTCCTCCTCCTCCCTCTCCTCCTCCTCCTCCGCCTCCTCCTCCTCCTCCTCCTCGTCCTCGTCCTCCTCCTCCTCTTCTTCCTCCTCCTCCTCCTCCTCCTCCTCCTCCTCTTTCCCATCCTCCCATCCCTGCCTCTGCCCTCCGCACAGGTCAACCATGTCGGCACAGTCCTCACACGATTCGTGGCCCTCAATGGGAGCTCCACTGAAGGACCCAGGAGCCGCACTCGCATGGCACCACCGCACCCACTTCGGCACAACCCTCACACGTGTCGTGGCCACATAGGGAGCTCCACCGAGGGCCCTACTGGCTACGCTCGCATGGCACCACCGCGCCAATTTCGGTACACCCCTTACACTTTTCGTGGCCCCCAAGGGAGCTCCACCGAAGGCCCCAGTGGCTGCGCTGGAATGGCACCACCGCGCCCATCTCGGCACACCCATCACACGTTTCGGCTCTGCCGAGGGTCCCAGTGGCTGCGCTCGCATGGCACCACCGCACCCACTTCGGCACAACCCTCACACGCTTCGTGGCCACATAGGGAGCTCCACCGAAGGCCCCAGGGGCTGCGCTCGCATGGCACCATTGCACTCATTTCGGCACACCCCTCACGCGCTTCGTGGCCACATAGGGAGCCCCACCGAAGGTCCCACTGGCTGCGCTCGCATGGCACCACCGCGCCCATCTCGGTACACCGCTCACACGTTTCGTGGCCCCGTAAGGGGGCTCCACCGAGGGCCCCAGTGGCTGCGCTCGCATGGCACCGCCGTACCCATTCTGGCATACCCCTCACACGTTTCGTAGCCCCATAAGGAGGCTCCACCGAGGTCCCTTCTGGCTGCGCTCGCATGGCACCACTGCGCCCATCTCTGCACACCCCTCACTCGTTTCGTGGCCCCATAGAGAGCTCCACCGAGGGACCCAGTGGCTGCGCTCGCATAGCACCACCGCACCTATTTTGGCACCACTCACACGTTTCGCGGCTCTCAATGGATCTCCACTGGACGCTTGCATGGCACCGGCGCGCCCATGTCGGCGCACCCCTCACACGCTTCGTGGTCACATAGGGAGCTCCACCGAGGGCTCCAGTGGCTGCGCTCGCATGGCACCACCGCGCCAATTCCAGCACACCCCTCACACGCTTCGTGGCCCCCAAGGGAGCTCCACCGAGGGCGGCCCCAGTGGCTGCGCCCGCACGGCACCACAGCACCTACTTCGGCACACCGCTCACACGCTTCGTGGCCCAATAGGGAGCCCCACCGAAGGCCCCAGTGGCTGCGCTCGCAAGGCACCGCCGCACCCATGTCGGCACACCCCTCACGCGCGTTTGCATGCGCCCACCGCGCCCATTTCGATACATCCCTCACGCGCTTCGTCGCCCCATAGGGAGCTCCACCGGAGACGATACTCACAACTGCGTTACTCACAACTGCACTGTAGAAGACATGACGTTGGGCTCCAACTTCGCCTCCCGCATCTCACTGAGCAGCGCCAAAGCCCGCTGCCACTGCTCGCCCCTCTCGCAGGCACTGATCCCAGCGCTATAACTGACGACGTTGGGCTCGAAGCTCGCCTCCCACATCTCGCGCAGCAGCGCCAAGGCCCGCTCCCACTGCCTGCCTGCGCTGCATGCGCTGACCGTCGCAATGTAACCGCCCGGGCCGACGCCGGAACGCAGTCGAGACGCCTCGCGGAAGAACTGCAGCGCTGCGCGCCACTGCCCCGCCCTCCCAGGCCTCTCTCGGGTCGGGCGAAAGGGGGGGATAGCAAAGGGGGGGTTTGAGAATCAGCTCACGTAGCTGATTTTCCCGGCGCCTCCCGGCGCCGGAGGCGGCCATGTATCGAGGAATGGGCCCCTCGGTGAGGCCGAAACCAGCTGCATGCAGCAAATTCCGTAACCCCCCCTTTCCCAATCCCCCCCTTTCGCCTGGCCCGACTCTCGGTGGCCGCCGCGAGAGAAGGACTGGCAGGCCCTCGGGCTGCGCACAGCGGGGGCCCGGCGGGCCTCCACGGGCCCCCCGCCTGCGGCGGCCTCGGCACTCGCCGCGCCACCTCCGGAGGGCGTCCTCGGGGGCACTGCCCCGCCCCAGGCTTTGGGGTACACCCTGCGAAATGCTTAAGAAATCATGGGTTAAGAAATTCATAGTCTCAGAACTTGAATAAAAACCCAAAATTTCCATTCAGATCTTAGGAGTTACATTGGAACATTAAGAATAATCAAGACTCTGGCCAAAAAAATAAGTTTTCTTAAGCATCGCCTAAGGTGTACCCTCTGATCCGACGTTGCAGAAGAGCTGCAGCATCGCAGAAAATGACGACATGAGCCCTGGACCCCACCTTTCTGCGTCATTTGTGCGAGCTGGATCGATATGTGTGAGGATCCTGGGGCCCGAAACCGAGCGAAAACGCCTGGAGTGAGAAGATTGCAACGCCAGGATCTGCCCTGGGCTGCCCCGGGGGCCTGTCGAGGCCAGCCTGGGCTGCCTCCGGGGGCCTGCCTGTGCGCAGCCACAGACGCCTGCCAGGAAGAGCCGCCTCGCCCGGGCGTCCGACGGGCGCCGGGCATCCGCGGAGGATCTCTGAGCCACAGCGGTTCGATCTGGGCGACCGCGGTGCTTCCGAGTCGCAGCTCTCGACCCCCTCCCCAGGGCCCGTCTTTCACCCACGGTCGTTTTCTGACTGTCTCTAGAAGCCTCCTAGATGGGATCGGAGTAGATGGGGTCGGAAGATCGCGCCGCATCGACGATACATCGGCGATGCATCGGCGATGTATCGGGGATGCATCGCCGATATCGGCGATGCATGGGCGACGCCAGCGCGGAGAAAATCGGGCTCCACATCGAGCCGCATCGGCGATGCATCGGCGATGCGGCGCGATCCTCCGACCCCATCTACTCAGACCCAATTAGGCGGCCTGGAGAATGTCTCGTGGCCCGGAAGCGGCCCCCAGGCAACGAGCAATACGCAAAAAGTCCACCGCGATGTTCGCCAGAACTCTCGGGCTGGGGTCTAGTAGGCGCTCGGAAGCGGCCCCAGAGCCCTGGACTGAGGCATTCGGCAGCTCCCCCGAGCGAGCATGGAGGGGGGACGAGGAGGGAGGAGGAGGGACGACAAGAAGCACGGCCGAGGAGGACGGACGAGGAGGACGAGGAGGGAGGAGGGAAGGACAGGGGAGAACAGACTCAAGGAGGCAGGAGTAGGGAGGAGGAGGAAGGAAGGAGGAGGGGTGGCAGGAGGGTGAAGGAGGGAGGAGGAATTGGCGAGCATCCAGGAGCAACATCAGGGAAGAAGGAGCAGACGGAAGGACCAGAGAGCAAGGAGGAGCTCGAGGGGAGGAGGAGAGGGAGGAGGAGCACGACGGAGAGGACGGGGGGTCGGAGGACGGGAGCAATACACCACGGCTGCATCCACGGAATGCTGCCAGACGCCCTCCCGTCCCGGGCCACCCCCTCGCGTCACCCCCGTGCGTGGCGAGCGCCCTGTGGGCCTGCCGCTGAGGCGAGACCCCGCTTTGCGACGGGTCGGCCCTCCATCGGTGCAGCCGGGAGGGGCGCGGGGAGGGTGTGCGGTCCACAGAGTCCCGGGAGGGGCTGTGCAGCGCTGCCGTCGACCCAGATCAGAAGGATGCGGGCAAGGATGCAAAGGGCCCTGGAGGGCCGTGTCCACGTTTTCCGAACGCGGTTGGCCAGCGACAGTCGCAAGGATGCAAGGGTACCCTTGGGAAGGTTGCCCATCCTTACTAGGCGGGTTGTCAACCCGTGTAGCAAGGATGCACGATAAGGATGCAAGGGCCTTGGACGCCCATTTCGAAGCTTTCCGAGCGAGGCGCGGCCAACGAAAGTGGCGAAGGATGGACCGAGGAGGCAAGGATGCAAGTGTACCCTTGGGAAGGTTGCCCATCCTTACTATGCGGGTTGACTGTAATTGCTGGGACATTTTAAAGCGAATGGGTGCGGCGCTAAGGCGAGAGCCGCTTTGAACCAACGATCGTTCATCCACCATTGTGGCTGTTTGAATCGCTAAGCTTGGGGATAGGAAAGTGCAAGGAAGCCTCAAGCGAGACGCCCAGCCCAGCATAGGGACACGTCTGGTGGTGCGACAGGGGTGAGTGTGCAGAGGGAAGATGGGTGGAGGGCCAATAGAAGAAGGAACAAGTAGCATAAGCAATAACTGTTGGCGCTCCGCGCGGATTTCTTGGATCTGCGCCGCGCGGAGCGCCAAAAGTTTATGCTTATGCCGGTCTTTCTCCGTCGACGGAGGAAGACAACAACGGCAGGGGTGCGCGGGGGACGCGCAAACCGTCTGGCCTAGGCCTCGTGAACCTCAGCCCGCGCGAAGGCACTGCCCCGATGGAGGCAGAGAAGGGAGCCGGAGGCGCTCACGGATGCGGACGCGGAGGGGCGATCGGCGAGGCGGGGCGGCTGCAGATCGGCCACCCATAGGACGCACAAAACACACTAGTACTACATGTCCTCCTTGGAGGCGCGCGGCCGACCCGAACATACAGTATACCCATCTTGTACTTTATCGTTTCCCGAGCGGTGTGGCCAGGAGGCGCCCGCCACGACGCATATATATATATATATACATACATATATATATATATACATAATTTCTCGGTGAGCGCGTCCCCCCTGGGGAGGCGACGCACACACAGTATTAGTATGTTGGGGTGACGCCGACAACATGTTTCAGCGAACAGAAGCCTGCGACAAGCAACGGAACCCCCCGAAACCAACCAACTACATGTGAAGGTCGCCGAAGACCGCCGAGAACGCCGGGGAGCAATACCGAAATCGGCGACGGCGACGACGACGACGACGACGACGACGACGACGACGACGACGACGGCGGCGACGACGGCGGCGGCGGCGGCGGCGGCGACGACGGCGGCGGCGGCGGCGGCAGCGGCGGCGGCGGAGGCGACGGCGAGGACGACGGCGAAGAGGACGACGACGGCGAGGATCATCGCGCAGGCGGGGCGGGCTAGTCCTCGCGTGCCGCGTGCCTCATGATGGAGTCGGTCACGAAGAGCAGGTTCTCCTTGATCGCCATCGGATCCTCGCGGACGAGGAGGGCAAGGCGGATGCCAGCTGCACATCTGCTCCGACCCTGGCCGGGCCAGTCCTGGGCCAGGGATCGGTACCTGCGCCCTCCTGTCCCTCCCATCGGCCAGTGACGCGTGGGCCCCGGTCCTGGGCATGGGCCTGGGAGATGGCCCTGGCTGGGATCGGTGTGCTCCGCCTCCGCCTCCTCCTCCTCCGCCTCCGCCTCCGCCTCCGCCTCCTCCTCCTCCTCCTCCTCCTCCTCCTCCGCCTCCTCCGCCTACTCCTCCTCCTCCTCCACCCCGAGAAGAGGGGGACGCAGGAGGTTCAGGTTGAGCGCGCTGGAGGCGAGTCCAGACAGACGAGCCTGCGGCCGAGCCGAACGTGAGAGTGCCTCTGCTAAAATGTGGGTGCAAGCCCTGTGCTGACAGTGGGCCGCCTGGGGCGGCCGCCCAAAGAGGAAAGAACAGAGAAAAGGAGCCGGGAGGGCGAGGAAGGAAGAAAGGGAGGGAGGCGAGGAAGAAAAGGGGAGGGAGAGAAGGAACTAAGAAGCAGGAAGGGGATGGAGGAGGAAGGGGGAAGGGAGGAAGAGGAGGGAAGGGGACTAGTCATAGCAGCCATGATGATAATGTTTGCCAGCGTGAGCCCCAAACAGTGAGCTCTTGTGATGTGGATAGGTGAGCTACGTATGCTATATACGTGGTGCACTATATGCGATGTGAATTATGCCGTGCAAGCTGTGTGATGTAAGCTATGTGGTGCGAGAAGTCTGATGCAAGCAAGCTAGGTAGCGTAAGCTATACTGTGTAACATTAACGCCGCGCGATCCCAATTAGGGATCTTCTCTCTTCCGAAGCAATCGCATTCAGTTCTGAACCATGGAAGACAGCGCAGTGCAAAGAATTGCTTGGCATTGCTCGGCATTGCCCGGCATTGCCCGGCACTTCTTGGCATTGCTTGGCGTTGCTTGGCAGTGCGTGACATTGCTTGGCATGTATTGGCATCGTTGCTTGGCATTGCTGCTTGGCATAGTTGCTTGGCGCTGTTGCTTGACATTGTTGCTTGGCACTGTTGCCTGGCATTGCGCAGGCAACCCCTGGTAACCCTGGGCAGCCCGGGGGAACGCCAGCAGGGAAGGCCCCTGCACCTACAGGCTTGTTGCACGAACCCATTAGCCAAAGCCTGGTTGGGAAAAATGTGTGGTTCAAGCTATGTGGTGTGAGCTATGTGGTGCAATCCATGCGGTGCAATATATCTGGTGTAAGCTGTGAGGTGCACGCTAGGTGGTGTCAGCTACGCGGTGCAAGCGAGGCAGGACAAGCAATGCGGTGCAGTATATGTGGTGTGAGCTATGCGGCATCATCTGTGTGGTACAAAGTGGGCAGCGCAGTCCGTGTGGTGTAACCAATGTGGTGCAAGCCCGTGTGATTCGACCACTGTTGCGTCCTCGCCGTTTCGCTTCTGCTGGGCTTCTCCGGCCCCAAGGCGGCTCCAAGATGGCACGACGAAGCCCCAAGAGGGGTCCGTCAGGGCTCCCCAGACGGCCCCAAGAGCGCCCCAAGAGCGTCACAGAGGGGGCTCCAGGAGGCGATGGTTCTGGCTCCGACGGGGGGGAGGCTGATCAGTGCTGCTATCAGTTTTGCCCGATGGTGTCCACGATGGCCCCAAGAGCGCCCCCAAGACCCCAAATAGGACCCCGAGAAAACCCAAGAGAGCTCCAAGGGACCACAACGGCCCCCAGAAGGGCCCAAAAGAGCTACGATATGGCACTTGGAGGCCTCCGAGATGCTCACAGGGTCTCTAAGTTCACCATTGTCGGCTTCTTTACCTCACGATCATACCCTTCCCTCTTCCCACCGGGGCATCGTTTCTGGGTGGGCTGGTGGGATTGCGCGAAGCGTCAGGGGCAAACAAAACTCACGAATTCGCTGGCCCCACGGGCCAAAGGCGTGCTAAAATCTACGTTGGGAAATTGAAAATGTTTCTACATCGCGCGCGCGGGACGGCCCCCGAGGGTCCCCAGACGAAAAGTACCCCGGGCAAGGTCCTGGCAAAAACCC